TCCACTCATGGGTTTGAGATTGTGCGCACAATTCGCCCCCGGGAGAATTTAATAATTTTGCCAGGAGTGTGGTCCTCCAAAATAAGGACAAGGGTCATCAAAGTATTAACAACTACCATACGACTAATTTTTATTACATGATGACATTTTTCAAAAACTAAGAAAATAAACAAGAAAACAAATAAGAAGATAAACAAAGATAAGAAAATAATTACACAAATAGTCACAAGTTTGGACCAAAGCACTTACGCTTACTTCTCAAACAACATAAATATGCCAAATTATTCCCCGGAAATGACACCAATTTTGATGACGTCCAAATCCACTACTAAAAAGTAAATGGACATGGTCGCATGTAATATAATTTACCCAACAATGAGTCGGGGTCGAATCCCACAGAGAATAATATGTAGGCGATAAGGCGTGTAAGATAATTATCACTCATTATGCTAAGCCAAACACTTAGAAGAGTTTTAAGAGAATATTATAGCTAAGTAGGGAAAGGTAAGATAACATTGAAAGCAAGTAAAATGATAAATGGCTATAAGTATGGATGCACGGGGAATTACACTCAAGTAACGATCCAATATATTTTATGATTTTACAAATATGAGTGAGTTTATGTTAATTAGCCTCGGGTAATAATTCTATATTATCTTCTTCCAAAGACTAACAAGACTTCCTAATTGAATTATCTCTAAAACAATTAAGAGATTAAGCACACCGAATATAGCTACAAGTAGTTCAATCCTATCCCTAGGTAGAATCTATAAAGTGAGGGTTAACGCCTCAAGTTCTTGTTAATTAATCTTTCTCAACCCTAAATTACCTTTTCCAAAATTAATTCGAAGTAAATGGGTGAGTCCTAGGGTTAGCTAATCCCTTTGGAAATATTAAAAAACAAGAATAATTAAAGAAACAATAACTCACATCAATATAACTAAAAATCATTCAATACATAAGCACAACAAGATATTTAATCCACACTTTAAATATGAATATTTTCATAAGCAAGATTCAAGTGTTGGAACAAATACTACACACATAGATATACAATACAAAGCAAGGAAATGAAGAAATTAACATAAATGGGTAAGAAATTCTCAACCAAAAGCTTCAAATATTCAAGACCCAAGTGTGTGTGCAAGAACCCCAGCTCCAAAACTTGTGTTCTCTGGTCAAGAGATGTCCAAAGACTACTAAAGATGTTTTTCCAATAAGTTAGGTTGTGTATTAAAGGGTTTGGGGCCAACAAAAATGAAATTACAGAAGTACCCAGAACTGAAGCGCAATCTTCGCATTTGCGAAGCAATGTTCACATTTGCCAACTATGACTTTCCTGTTGACTATCGCATTTGCGATAAAGATTTCGCATTTGCAAATATTGCTTGATTGGGTTGACTTCGCATATGCGATTTGTTATTCGCATTTGCGAACACTGCTATCTTCGCATTTCCCACATTTATGTCGCAATTGCGACATCTGAGGTCATTTTTCCAGATTTTCTTCTTTTCAACTTCTTTTTGACTCGTTTTCACTTGGTTTCTGCGTGATCACTTCTAAATCACATAGAACCTATAAATAGAAGTAAACACCATTAAACACATGATTTTATCACTCAAATATAGCAAAAATATAAGCTTAAAGACAAGATAAGTTGGTAAATTACCAACTTATCAACCATAGAAGTTCATCTTGTCCTCAAGCCCAAATTCTATATTCTTTGTTTTCCCTCTCTTTTGAGGCGACTGTCTGGGGATGGACTCCATTGGACCATTTTCAAACCTCTTTTGAGCAATGAGGATTTCTTCATGTGAATCATTGGACCCATCCTCAAACTTTTGGTGATCTGAACTTTCTGAAGACTCAACATCCACCAGATCATCAATTTGAGGATTTTTCTTGAAGTGGTGGCTTCTTCTAGGCATGTAGGAAGATGGAGAAGGTTTGGTTTTGGCCATGAGCAAGAGAAAGCAGAGATAACTTTTCCTTGTGATAGTGGGAGATATGAACAAGAAGAGGAGTTAAAAAGGGGTGAGTGATGATGAATAGACGCCTCGATTCTGGAGAGATGTGTGAAAGGAAATTGAAAAGTTGTCTTCTGCAAACTCGCCGTCAATCAGATAATTAATGCACATACAGAGTAATCAAACACACTTAGAGATATTTTAGACGAAAATATCGAAGAACACTTATAGAATATTTTCTAAAATAGGAAAACTTAGAGAAGTTAAACGGGAATTAGAAAATACCAATTTTATCACGAAGGAAACAAAATCTCTCCTCAAGCAGTGGTTTTGTGAAAATATCTACTAACGGATTTTCAGTATTAATAAATTCTAACACAATATCACCTTTTGCAACATGATCACGAATAAAACTATGCTTGATTTCAATGTGCTTATCTCTAGAATGATGCACATAATTTTTTGAAAGTGTTACACCCCATGTTTTCGTACGTAAAAGTACACCATAAGTAAATTGATGAAAGCTCGGAAATGAGATATTACATCCCACATTGTCGTACGTTAAAGTTTCGTCGTAAGCTAATCGACCTAAGTTCGGGAATGAGAATATTTTGAGATTATAAGCATTGTGCTATTTCAAACAAGTGATGAGTAAATTCCTGAAGGTGAGATGGTAAGCAAATCGAAGAAAAAGAATTTTCGTCGAAGTTTGATATTTTGGGATAAAATACGACTCGAGCTAAAATACCTGGTATTTATGGACTAGTGTCATACAAGGTACCACATGATCATGATAGTATTTTAAGTAATTTGGGATAATAGTGTTAAAAGTGAGTAATATTTTAAGTAATTTGAGATAATTCTTAATTATGTGAATAATTGGATAATTATGAATTTTTAGTGGGAGATTAACTATGTAATTAAGTATATTTGGACAAGTATTAACCTCCTAATGTGGCAGCAAATCAAAGACCAATTGGTGACTCATGATTAATTAAGATTAGGTGGCATACCTAGAAGAATTTGTTGGCCAAGTCATCAAACAAAGTGGGTCCCACAACCCATAATCTTAAGAGCTTTTCCTACACTATTAAGTGAGTAACATTGGCTTGTTATGTAACGTTTGGGATTCTTAAACAAGATTTCATAGGAATCCTTTACAAAGTGAGATAGATTGGCAACATGATTTTGCTTCAATAAAGAATTCGTACGAAGATATACTACGTAATAACAATGGGATTTGCAATTCTAAGGGAGCCCGGTACAATTTTTCTCAAGAATATCATATGGATTTTTTTCTACTTTGATCCGTCATTATGTGTTGTCGCAATTGATGTGCGTTAGAGGGATTGTCAAGAGAATCGGCTCGGGTATGTTAAGGCTATCCTTTTTTTCCTTTTGTCATGATCTATTTGACACAAATGAAACGAGCAAATGCACAACTTTCATAAATAACTCTATTCATAGAAGTATTATAGGTGCCTATGTTCTTAAATTTCCATATGTCTTATTATTCTATCGTCGGTTCATGGGTCTCAGAAAAATACGTAAGTTGAAAAAGTTTACATCATGATATTAATCTAAGGCATAATGGTCTTATGACATTCCGAAAGATTTTATTGATGTACTTCTCATGCATTGCATTCATTTATACATGTACATTGACCCATGACTAGATGGCGTTATATACAGGTATATATGTATATTATATATATATGGGATATAGGAAAATATTATGGCATTATATACGCACCACCACCTGATCATCTAGTATACATTGATGATTTTGCCCACAGTGGCCGAGATGATATGATGGGATGCCCTCAGAGGCTTGATGATGTTATGAACACATGTACCTACGCACGATATGACATTCATTCACATATGCATGACACTATGAGTATTTCATGATTTACAGAGTTTCTCTCATGTCTATTATTTACTGATTTTCATTCCTTACATACTCGGTACACTATTTGTACTGACGTCCCTTTTATCTGGGAATGCTGCGTTTCATGCTTGCAGGTCCCGATAGACAGGTCGAAAGTCCTCCAAGTAGGCTATCAGCTTAGTGAAAGATGTTGGTGCGCTCCATTTGCTCCGGAGTTGCTTGTTTGGTCAGTATGATTTAGACGTGTATTGTTTTGTATGGCGGGGCCCTGTCCCGACCTTTATGATAAGTATGTACTCTTAGATGCTTGTAGACAGATGCCATGTATAATGGATACTTGTATGGCCTTGTCGGCCTATAATTTAAGTATACGGATACTTATAGGCTCGTATGTAACAGGTATGAGTTTCTATATCAGGTTGGGTCGTTCTATGTCGGGTATTCCCTCATGTTTACTCTAGTTATCTCATGACGCCCCTTCTGGTCCACTTACCTATGATGATGTAATAAGAATGATACGTTACGTTGGTACTCGGTTGAGTAAGGTACTGGGTGCCCCGTCAGGGCCCATCGATTTGGGTCATGAGAAAAGTGGTATAAGAGCAGTTCTGTCCTAGGGAGTCTACAAGTCGTGTCTAGTAGAGTCTTGTTTATGGGTGTGTCGTGCACCGCACTTATAAGCAGGAGGCTACAGAGAATTTAGGACTGTCACTCTTTCTTCTTAGTCTAGATCATGTGGTAAAGCTCACTTATAAAAATTCAAATTCCTAACTTCTATTTTATTAGTAATAAGAAGATACCTACGTCTAGAAAGGCCGTTGGTAAGAGATTAAATGAAGGAGAAGGAATGTACATATGTACATACAAGCATTTATGCAAAAGCAGGTAATCTGATATATATATATTATATATATATTATATATATATATATATATATATATATATATATATATATATATATATATATATATAATATAATAATATATATATATATATATATTAATATAATATAATATATATATATAGATGGATACATAGCATCTGGTAATAATTAGCAGTAGCATAATTAGTTCTTACAACAAGTTATCATAACCTAGAAATATTATTCTAACTAAACCTAACTTAATACTAAGTACTACCAGTTAGTGAAAAAGTTCACAAATCTCTGAGAAAACCTCAAAAATAATCTTGTAGAAAGAAGGTGAATTCAATTGTAGAAAACAATGCAGAAGCATCTGAAGATCCTCAACTCCAAATATTTGTTTCTGTACTATCATTTCCACCACTGATGTCCTGAAATCATTGTATGGATCACTTGTATTCTTCTCCACTGCAATGCTCTCTTCATTTCTCCCGTTAATAGCAATTGAAAACTGACCAATTTTATCAGAGCTAATCAAACTCATCTTCTTGATTTTCCGGTGGTTCCTCCCTGTTTCCCGGCGACACTTGGTGGTTTTCCGACGAGTATTACCACTGTTCGAATCACTGTAATAATCAAACTTCTCCACCGGGCTGGTTTTCCGGCGTGTTCTTCCGCCGGATCTTGTCTGGCTGATTTTCCCTCTGTTTTGCTCTGTTTTCGAGGTGGGAAACTCAAGTCCGTTTATTGATTTGACCCTGACTCGCTCAAGTTTGACCCAACTCGTCCATTTACCTTCTTTTGGCTCGTTGCTGTTGAAATAGAATTAGCTGATAATTCAGAAGAACAACGACCCATTTCATAACTCCTTTGATTATATCTTTTACTAGCTGTTTTTCGGCGAAAAGACTCGGAAAAATAACCAGAAGACAAGCTAAATAAAGCATCTTCTGTTTCGCCACTAAATTCATCTCCACCTTCACTACTAAACCATGATGAAGAACTTTTCATAACATTTGACTCTTTATGGATATGCGTTTTAGTATAACATTTTGGAACTTTCAAATGATCATTCTTGTTTGATTTGGATTCTTGAGTTTTGATTGAAGATTGGGTTCTAGATGAAGCTCCAAGAACATGATTATTGGAACTTTTGGAGATAACAATAGAGTTTTCAACAACATCGGGTAGATTTCGGAACTGACAGGAAGAGAAAGAGGAAGGGAACAAACGAGAGAATTTGTGTACTATGTTATTCTCCATGCTGTAATAATTAAAAACACTCTCACTGAGCTGCATGCATATTTATAGCGTGTAGAATATTATAGGATTTATAAAACTGAATATTAAACTATGAAGATTCATGGGATTGGAATAATAAAACAATACATTGGTATATATTTAATTAATTAATTTAGTCGTTGTAGTTTAATAGATTCTTAAAAATTTAGAAGTGAAAAGTAGAAAATGACAAGCTGGAATTTCTAGTCCAGAGATATTCAAACTTGTGAATTATACATTATTGGTAGTCACATGGAAGCAGTAGGATGAATCATTCCCTCTCACTTATACATATGATATTTTCCTTCTTTTTTTTTCTTCTTTTGAATGGTCTTGACTCTTGTATCACATTAGCACAAAAAAAAAAAAAAAAAAAGATTCTTGTATTTCAGAGAAAACGATTGAAGTAGGAGATTTAGAGTACGAGAGTCATGCTACTTAATTTTTGGGTGTGAATTCAGACATAAATCTTTAAATATTTTGAAATAAATTTACTAATTTAAAATTATATTAAAAATATTGTAAGTCACAAGAATTATAATACTCACCAAGTAGTAATATTATCATATAAAATATAATTAATGGAATAATAAAGGTTTTCCTTTAATAATCAAGCATTTATTAAAAATTATTATATTAGGGGAAAGGGAAAGGGAAAGGAAAAGGGAAGGGGAAGGGGAATGTTATGTTACAAATAGGTTTTGAACCTTCCACCTCAATTGAGAAAGACAATGAATCTATCACACCAGTTCCGTGTTACGATCAAAAATACAATTAGTCGTGATGGCACCTAATTCAACCCGTTAGGTAAGCCAATTAATATCTATCCAAATTAATGAGATTTATCAAGAAAAAAAAGTGATAATATAATTGCTTTGATACAAGAATTTTTCAAGAACTAGTAGTACAAATCATGAGCTTCTAAGATTTAGAGTTTACAAAGCTAGTGTAAAATAAATACATCATTTGCTCGAATTATACATAAACATATTTTTCATAAGTCTAGAGCTGCCATGAACAAGAGGCAGTTATAACTGAAACGCAGGTACGCCTTCAATGCTAGCTCCTGTTATACACATCAATGCCAGCATCCAAATATGCATGCAAGGTGCAAAAGTGTAGTATGAGTACCATCGACCCCATGTACTCAATAAGTAACAAACCTAACTTTAGGTTGAAAGTAGTGACGAGCTAGGACAGAGGTCAGAGTCCAACACCAATAGCCAACAACAGTTCGTAACAAAATAATAATAATGGTACAAGAAATATACTCATATATAAATGCTTAACTCATTCATAGTCCCGGAAAACTAGACATGCTTTTCAAGTAAATCAGTGAAAACCCAATTCTTATACCGAAATCACAAAAATATGAGTAGGTTTGTAAAACTGTAATTTTTTCCAATACTTTTTAACAACAGATAAGATATTTCATTATCAAATGGCATGAGGAAAATACACCTGTATGCCTACATGTTAATATATGCATGCCAACTGTAATACAGTGCAGTGATAAAACCATATGCATACTCTCGGTGTATCAATGCATTCAGTCCTCCCAACCACTCAATCCTCACAGTCACTCAGTCCTCAGTAGGTACCGGCGTTCACTGGGGGGTATGCAGAATCTGGAGGGGCTCCTTCAGCCCAAGCGCTATAATAAGTCAATCTTGGCATAAATCAATAACATCTGTTGTGGCGTGCAACCCGCTCCCATCATAAACAATAATACTTGTTGCGGCGTGCAACCCGATCCCATCAAAATCCTCACAATCAGGCCATCGGCCTCGCTCATTCATCAATCCCTCTGGTCTCTCAAGCTCACAATGTCATGAAAAATCAGCCCAAAAATAATGATGTGATGTATCAATAAATGGTAACAGAGACTGAGATATGATATGCATATGAATGATCGATCGAGCAAGCCAAATCCAATACCGAGCAAGCCAAACGATGCTCCAAAGATGCCATCACGCGCGTACCAACCTCCGAACGACTTGAAACTAGCCAAAAGCAACTCAAATACATCAATTAATGCCAAAGGAAACAAACCCAATCGATAAAGGTCGAATTTTTAATCAAAATCTCAAAATCGACAAAAAAGACAAACTCGGGCCTGCGCCTCGAAACCCGACAAAACTCATAAAATCTGACAACTCATTCAATTATGAGTCCAACCGTACTAGTTTCACCCAAATCCAACTCTGAATCGATGTTCAGAACAAAAAATTCACTCTATGAAACTTTGGACAAAACCTCCAACTTTCTCTTTAAAATTCAAAATCTAATTACAGAAAACAAAGATGATTCATGAAACATAACCAAAACCATGTAGAAAATACATACCCCAATTCATATGGTGAAAATTATCTCAAATATTGTCCAAATCCGAGCTCCCCGACTCAAAATATGACCAAATGAACAAACCCTCAATATTAAATATTTTTGCCCAATTGTTCAACTTCGTTTTGTGTGCTAAACGATCCTGAAACCCGCTTTTGATGCCTCTAATAAATTTCTTGTAAAATTTTAGTCAAATTAGACTTTTGAATCATTCCATTTGACCTTATAATGAAGGAGATATGTTGGTTTAAATACGAAGTCAGTGGCAATTTTATAATTAATCTGAAAAAATCTAACAACCCAAGTAGTAAAATGATCATGAACTCCTCATACGATGTCCGAATTCGACGATTCTTTTTATATGGCTCCGTAATTACGATACTGTACAACCCGGATTCCCAACCTTCGGGGATCGTGATGGCGCCTACTATTGGGAGCTAGGCAAGCCAATCTCTAACTATTGTTTTCATTAATAAACTACCCTTTTTCACAATTATCACTAATAACATGAGATATCGAAATTTAAACAGATAAGCGGAAGTCTTAAATTACAGAAACTGAAATGATAATGCGGAAGTTCAGCATAATCCTCTACCCAAAACCTGGTGTCACATAACTCACGAACTACTAAGGATACTAAATACAACCGTTTGAAAGAAATAATACACTGTTTGTCTCGGATACATGAGATAACAGAATGAAATGTAAAGTAGAGGAGACGCCGGGCCTGCGGACGCCTGCGAGGCTACCTCGGTGTCTCGGTGAACTGAAGGCTGGCTCCCAAACTACTAGTGTTGTCTGGTTCCTGGATCTGTGCAAAAGAGCACAGAGTGTAGTATCAGCACAACCGACCCCATGTGCTGGTAAGTGCCTGGCCTAACCCCGACGAGGTAATGACGAAGCTAGGACCAGACTCCAGATAAACCTGTGCAGTTATATAATATTTGGCGGAGCAATAAACATATAATTAAACAATTAAAGCTGGGGAAGGGAACATGCTTCAGGGGTAACAGTCAAAGCAACATATCAAGAATAATATGAAAACTACAACTTAACATCTTATACGGATAAAGGGAAATAAAGGCAACTTTCACTTCTCAATACTCATCTGGTTGCAGGCGTGCAACCCGATCCCATTTCTCACATCTTGTGGTAGGCGTACTACCCGCTCCCCTTTCATCATTAGCTTGTGGTAGGCGTACCACCCGTTCCCATTTCAATACATAAATACATACGAAGGAATAGAAGCATAGAAAATAACCAGTCAAAGAGGGAGGGGAACATGTTGTGGGGAAAAGTAACAGTCCAGGAAATAGAAACACCAAATAGGGAATGTAACTGAACAACTAGAATATCAACAAGAGAAATAAATTATCAGTATATCCAGAGTAACGGTCTAAGGGCAGCTTAGAATTTCATGCGAACAAAAGAAACTAATATCCCAAATAAACACACTTGTAACAATAATTATTGTGGCGCGCAACCCGATCTTAATATATATAACAACACTGTTGCGGCGTGCAACCCGATCCACAAATATCATTGTTGCGGCGTGCAACCCGATCCAAATTATTTAGCATTATTGCAATGTGCAACCCGATCCATATCATTTAGCATTGTTGCAGCGTACAACCCGATCCATATCATTTAGCATTGTTGCGGCGTGCAACCCGATCCGTATCATTTAGCATTGTTGCGGCGTGCAACCCGATCCATATCATTTAGCATTGTTGCGGCGTGCCACCCGATCCATAAATATCATATAATGCACTGCATCACCCTTCGTGCTTTATCACTCTTCCTCACCCAAACAACAATCACAAATAAGAGGCAAGGAAGTAAACAAATAATGATAGAAATCCCGGAAAGGGAATGCAATAAAACAGTTAAATCCCGGCAAGGGAACAATAGCAACAATTCCAACATCCCGGCAAGGGAGAAAATCAACAAAACAGCAAAATATCCCGGCAAGGGAATAAACCAATAACTCTTTCTCTTTCTTTCATTCCTTAATTTATAATTCACTTCATCACTTGAGCCAACGCTCCAAAGAACCCAATTATCTCATATACCTTCACAATTCGTATCACAACTCGAGCCAATGCTCCTCGAAGTTTAAAGGTCACAATTTCTTTCACATACTCTTTACAACATATAGAAATCATCAAATAAGCATAAAAGCTACAACCAAATCGGAATAATCGCAATATAAGGACTCACGGTCATGATAGACACTAATGTATAGATACTCGTCACCATGCCTATACATCGTACTCGATAATTAGCAAGTAGCAAACATGACTCAACTCCTATTCCCTCAAGCTAAGGTTAGACCAAACACTTACCTCGATGCTTTAAACTCGACTCAAGCCTCAAGTATAGCTTTACCCCTCGATTCCACCACAAAACCGCTCGAATCTAGTCACAAATTACTTAATTACATCAATAAATGCTAAATGAATCAATTTGAATGCATAAAAATGAATCTCCCAAAGTTTTGCCCAAAAAGTCCAAAAATGCCCCCGGGCCCACGTGGTCAAAACCCGAGGTTCGAACAAAAATCCGGTTACCCATTTCCCCACGAATCCATATCTATGATTTGTTTTGAAATCGAACCTCAAATTGAGGTCCAAATCCCC